AAGTTGCGGGATACCAGCCCACAGGCGCTGGAATTGCCCACTTCTGTCCCAGAGCATAAAAAAGCACTAGTGTAAGGTATTCTAGTTTTGGGCAGGTTTGTCCAAGTTCACCAAAGTTTTGCTAACCTTACAATTAAAATTGTGCTTGTTCCTCCTGGTTCTCTGTTTCTTGTTAGGGGGATGTCTTAAAGCCCAGGATCGGAGAAAATACAGTATCCCTATTCAGTAATACTCCATGACCTTGTTATTCCTGTATAGATCTAAACTAAGAAGCTTTAATTTGATTTAGCTAGCTATGCAAAGGTTCTTAACAGACTGTTTGAACTCCATCTGTTTTTGGACAGATGTTAGGGGTAGTCAGTCTTTGAAAAATAGTTATCAGAAAACAAACACACCTATACCCACAGTTTTTTCCCAATGTTGTTTCATAATATTATATCAGATGGGTTCCTATTAAGGCAAAAAGGCTGAATTCTGGTAGGCTTGTTCCTTTACAATGTCTTAAACCATCCTGTAAATCTCAAGTCTCCATGTACTAAAGAGAGGACAAATTTGGTTCAGGATCAGAGTACATCTACCTTGGCAAGTGTTCCACAGCTCCTACCAACCTGGTTCTCTGGTTCATCCAGATTACTGAAGGTCTAAATATTCCACTACCTTGTCAGCAGCAGAAACTACAGACCCTCACTTTATAACCTCAAATTTTGGGATGCCAATGTCTTTTGGTTTCCCATAAGGTTGTTGGCACCACCAATACTACTTTTGCCCATTGGTACCACTTTATGCATGCAGTCTCCCTTATGAGGCATTAAGTGGTGCTAACATGCATGAAATGAGGGGCATGCAGTGACACTGAGGGGCAAATCAAGGCCTGCAAGACCCCAAAACTGCAACCTAGCACTTTGTGTCCTTTAGCACCAATTTATTGTCATATTTTCCCTTAGGAGGTGTAGAAGTATTTGTTGGCTAGAGTACAAACAATATTTAACTAACACCTGCTGTTGTGTAAAGTGTTAGACATGTTCTAGGTAGCAAAAGGTACAAGTAATGGGATTCTAACATCTATAGATGACTGGTGAGGTGAAAAGTGAAGGCTGTGAAAAAAAAACTTACGTATGTGATTGTAGCCCAGTCCTATCTCCTAAAAACAGCAAACAATCTCCCACAGGTTGGTTTCAAACAGACCATAATTAGGCAGCTGAAAGGACACGACCGGAACTTTTCTGAAAGAGAGACTTGAGGGAAAAGGATGCTTCTGAAATCAAGTATGTTTGATCCTGTTGCTGCAGAGCAAAGTCCGTTTTGACATACTTGTCACTGTTGGGGGTGGCTAAATGAGATGATCGCAACCTGCACACGCTGAGCCTGGCTACATCCTTGGAGGCATACAGAGTCCCAGTGCTTCAGCTGATAGGCTTGATTGACAAGGCATGGAAAACAAAAAGGTCAACCTTTGAAGTACTTACCAGAGGTGGTATCTTCCTGAGTAGCTGAGAGAATAGAGATCAGTTTGTGTGGCTGGACTTCCACTTCTTTGTAGAAATTACCGATTTTTTTAGATCAATTCTGTTGGAGACCTTCATTATTTTCTTCTATTTTTAATTGTAATTTGGATTTCTCTGGGATTAAAACTTAAAATATAAACATACCTCTTTGAAGGGCGACTTTGAAAGTAGAGTGAAAACTAGAGTGAAAACCTGTTGAAGTGTCGGCATGCGTTGCTCACAAAGTAGAAGATGTCTTCAGTAACTGTGAAGTGGCAGATTCCGCTGTTCTTTGAAGACATAAGGTGTTTGGTGGAGACCAGTGGGAACTAACGGCATCATGAAGAACACCATGTTTAAAGGGCCAATATCATGGAAAAAACAACATTACTTTCTGACCTTATATCTAACTAATAATGCCAATGTTCCATCAATATAATTCCCAAAGCAATAGTTTGCTCTATTAATACCTTTCTGATTAATCTTTGTGAATTCTCCCTCCATGGGAAAGGAGTCACGATCAACATTTAGGTAGAGCAGCGTTTACCCAAAGGGTCGAGAAGGCACCAACATTGAACCAACTATCCATGCATCTATCATGGTCTTTTGATTGTTCTATAATCTGGTTTGAAGATTCTGCAGTTTTCAAACTAGAGCAGAGTAAAGACACCCAGAAAAAATGGATAGATTTGCCCTTTATCAGTTCCTGTGATTTGAAAGCTGTAATCAGAAGCGTACTTCAGTTTGGTGCTCAACAGCTCTTAGGCTTTCCACCACAGCATCATCCATGTTAACATTATAAAGAGTCATTTTCTTCCAGATCTTTAAAAAAATTCATTGACAGTGATGAAAAATGACATTTTCTGATATAGATCCACCAAGTTAGTAGTTTATTAGCTGAACGAGCAGGCAGTAAGGTATCCGAAGGAAGACTAGATGCTGTTTAGGAACAACTAATGGGGGTGCTGGTCCATCCTGCTGATGCTAACAGGCAAACTGGATAACTTAGTTGAAGAGTGTCATTATGAAATAAAGAAGTGATGGATAAAAACATGATTGTGAAAAATAAACTTAAAAGTTAAAAAAAAAACTGCTGGAATGAAATAAAAACCCTTCAAAATGGTTTTAGATTAAAAAGTTTTAATTAGCTACACCAGGCCCTTTTTAGTCAATTAAAGATTATTTTGTATGTCTGCATGTTACCCTGTCATTGGATGGAAACCATTGAGGATGTTTCTCATCATGGATGGATGTTTTTTCTTGATGCTACTTGTTCTGATGCAGAAGATTTTTGATCATATCACCTTTTCAAACCAGTTGCTGTACTAGTTTGGACTGAATTTTGTTTCATTATTGTTAAAAACAAAGAAAATATTTTTTAAATAGATGTTTGAAAGAGATGCAAGCAAGAAATACAACTTAAAAAAGTTGTCATCAGAAAACGGTTTTGAGAGTAACTGCCATTTTCTTAGATTAAAATTTTCCTTTTATTTTCTCATTTTATTATTTTATACTGTATTTTTTCAATTTTTTTAAGATTGAGTTTTATGATTTGCGTTTTTTTTTTTTTTTTTCAGATTGTTAGGACTCCTGTCTGTGTGGTTTGTGTTTTGTGTGTTTGTCTTCCTTCCTCCACAAGGCGGCTCCTGGTCCGCCTACTCACACACCTGCGGAGGGTTACCTCATTAACGGAGTGTTCTTAAGCTGCTGACTGCCACTACCTCGATGCCAGAGTGTTTGCCAGTTTTGGGTACTCTAGCCAAGCTGAGTTTTGCTGAGTCAAACTGAGTTTTTGTCACCTGAGTCTTAACCTCGCTGTTTTTGTCTTTGCCTCTCGGCAGAAAGTCATCCTGCAACTGGATGTTTCGTACCTTCTCTCCCCTGGAAGGATCTTCTGACCATCTTTTTCTCCACAACAACCCGTTCCAGTACCGCAGGAAATCTAGTCAGCTTCTCTGTTGACCTACAAACAAACGCATTCTGGGTAAACCCTGTCCGCCCTCCATCAAATGAGATAAACACTGGAACACCCCCACACCGACTGGAGTCAAAGAGTCAACCACTTTTCTGGAAACGTGAGTCTGCAATCTATTTCTCCTTTTCAAGTTCGACAATCAAATTTCCCACTGAGCCTGAACTAACCGCAGTGTCTTCCCCTCACTTTCCAGATCTGGTTGAGCAGTGTTCAGAGCTACACTGGATTCATCACAATCTTCTCAATACACCTGTTAAACGTTCCCCTGGTCTCTCTGTATTGGTTTTCCGCATGTGGGTCCAAGCTCTTGATAAAATCATGACACAGATTTCTTTTATTCAAGAGCAATTATTTACATAAAAGAGAGATTATTTAGACCTGTCCAAATATGCACGTAGACGTTTAATAACACAAAAAGTAAAATAGGTTCTAAGAAGCAGGGCTTGTTTTCGCTAAGGGTGTTTCTGGCCTTTCTGAAAAAGTTAACTCATTTGTGAATATTTGATGAATGATAAATGGGCTAAATGGTCTAATATGTGCAAAAGTGACTTTTCACGTGAAGCAGGAGGACTACAGATTGAGCTGTTTGTACTACAAGTCAGGGTAATGGTGATGTCACATCCGGCCACTGGAACATTCCCTTTCCGTGTAGCCGTCTTTTATTCATTTGTTTTTGGCTATGTAACTGTGTTTTGCCGCTTGCTGTTTTGTCTTTGCACTTGTACAAGTGTTTCCGAACGGTCAATTTTTTTTAGATGTTAATTTGTTTCCCTATAATGTATTTTTTTTTCTCTAAAATGAAACTTTCTCTCACCTAAAATCTAACTTATTTAAAATGTGAATTTGTTTTCTAAAATGTAAATTTGTTTGTAAAAATGTAAACTTTTTTTTCAAAAATACATTTGTTTCATAAAATATAATTTTGTTTCTTCAAATGTTATTTTGTTTTTTATTTGTTAATGTGTTTTTAATTGTAAATGTGGTTTTGCACTTCTCAGCCACCATAAACATGCCATCAAACACCAGGTCATGTTGACCTATGAGGGAGTTTCAGGGTAAAGGAAAAGTTTCTGTCAGGATGTTGGGAAATGTTTATGAAAGGTGCGTTGGCCAAAGACACACACACACACCTACACACCAACTTGTCTCTTTTTAGGGCATTTCCATTGAGTTGGATTAATTTCTACAGCCTAACCGGAACCCTTAGCCTAACCCTAACAGGTTCATATCCTCTCCACTGTCGCTACATGCATGCTCAGTGTGAGGGATTGCAGATGAGTCAATGCAACCAGGTGGCTTTCCTTAGATAGAAAACTTTTGACCAGTCTGGTTGTATGATCTGCTTGTATTGAGTGCCTTGGTGTTGCATGTGTTGTGGATTGACACTGTATGAATAAACTGAACTGTATAAAACTTTTTAATTGCAGCTTTTCTCTGTGTGACTCACACCAGGTTGAATTTTACTCCATAGATTAGACGACACATCTCAATCAATAAGCCCGGAAATATTTTGAAAAATCTTTACCAGAATTGCCACCATGTTTTTTTTCTTTACTTTTTGACACCAAAAACATTTGGCTGTGACTTCATACAGAAATTGAAATGCTTCCAATTCATACATTAGGATACAACATAGAGACATTTATTTCTTGTTTCAATACCAAAACAACAGGGTTCTCCCTCCACCATCAACCCCAGAGAAGCAGCATTGTTCATTAGTAACTAAAAATGGACAACAAACTAAAAAAATATCAGATTAAATCCTGTGATCTGTCCGTCTTTAACCTGCAGTACTTTCTTCTCAAACACCCAGCCAACAAAGTAAAGATGCACAAGTAAGTGGGTGGGTGTGTGTGCCTCTGTGTGAAAATATCCTTTGTAACAAAAAAATTGACAGAAGAAGCATAAGTTTTCTGTCCACTGGAAAACAACAGGCTGCAGAAGTTTCACTCCTCTTCTCCCAGCATGTTTCCCATCACAGACGCACGCTTTGTTTTTGTGCCACAAATCCTCCAGAAAATCAGAGAAAAAAAAAGCTGATAACCACAGAGGGTGGTGGTGTAATTCTTGGCTGGGTCGCAGTTTTCAAAAGGCAAAGGGGGTGAAGTGGAAAAGGGGAGTCCTCCTCCTCTGACAGTGACGTTTGTACTCTGAACGGACCTTCTGGATCCACACGCTAATGAAGCTGTTTGTACCAAATGTGTTAATCCATACAAAACAGGAGGGGGAAACAAAGAATAAACCAAAATAGTAACATCATTCCTGTGTTCTTCAACTTTGTACTTGGTCACTTTTTAAATTCCATATATTTATTTTCATATATTTATATATATATATTTATATATTCTTTTTACAGTTAAAAACATCATGGATTTGACAGACTATTTGGTTTCTTTTTGTCTAAGTAGAAGTGTTTATTTTATTTTGTAGATGAATGCATGAAGATTTTTTTTTTCTTTTCCATACGGTCTGTCTGTGGAAAAAAGGTGACCACTCAGTGTTTGTACACTAGTATCCATACAGTATGCATATCATTAGGATTTCCCATGATGTATTCTTTTTTTCTATTTGACATTTTTCATTCAAATATCACAGATACTGAACACCAGAGTCTGCCAACAGCGTCACACCAGAAAGTGGACATCCTGGACTGATTGGTCTCATTGGTTGTTTTGGGCCGAGTCTCTGTGTGATAGGCTCAGGGTGAGTAGCTGGGTCTGTGTAGGTCCACTGCCGCCGAGTCCCCCAATGTTTCCTCCGTTAGGGGTCAGGAAGCAAACAGTTTCTCTGGCTTCTACCGTCACGCCTGTTGATCCGCCTCCGACGATCCCAGCCTCTTCCTGCTTCCTGTGGGCGAGCGCCAACGCTCTGAGCTGCTCCTGCGCCTCCTCCAGGAGCAGCGCCACAGTGTTCTGCTGCTGCCCAACGCCGGGGGAGCAGGAGGAAGAGAACGGCCTGCCTTGCGGCATCTTCTCCCTCCCGTCTTCCTTGCAGGTTGTTGACATCTCTGTGGTTTCCGGGCTGGTTTGCATACAGGACACCTCGTTGTCGTGGTGACTCTGGACGGAGGGAATGATAGGGATGGAGCAGGAGCGAAATGGGGGAGGAGGGGAGAGGCTGTGGGGATGGCCGGGCCTCCTCAAGCTGCGATTGCTTTGCGGAGCACAACCCACGTCTTGGCGATCCTCCCAAGGCAGTGCTGATGGCGTCTCCTTGGAAACAGGAGTTTGCATATGTACAAAGGCATCTTGTTTGGTGTCACAGCCCTGCTTCTCCTCCTGGGTGTGGAAACTGAATCAAACGAGATGGAGGGAGAGGAGAAAAAGAGGGAGAAAAGGTTATTCATCTGGTAAAAACTTCTACCCTTCATTGGAGGAAAAGAAATCTTTGTCTTTGTCTGTTTTCAACTCAAATGCCTTTTCAAACTCCCACGTGGAAACTGGCAGAATACAGCTTTCCGCCCTCTGCCATCTCGCAGCTGAAACCAAGGATGGGGGGAGAGAGATGAGGCTGACATCTTTCTTTCATCCCTTTATATCCAAATCCACACACACATATAAACACACACATTCATGTCTTGCTATATGTAACGAGGACTATTTGTTGACTTCCACTAATTTTAACCCTGAAAACAACCTTTAACCTAAACATCATCTTGCTAAAATGGAAGAAAAGACTTCAGCTTTTTATTATTGTCAAATATCTGCTACAGGAAATCTGCTTCAATCTTAGGTTTCATGAAGAGGAAGCATGGATTTTCTTCTATAGGATAATGATATAAAAAAAAACAATGTCATTCTGTTCTGACATTTTAATTCAAATATTGTTTAATAACTGGTAAAGCTCCATTAGTGGAAATTGTTCTTCAGGCATTTCTATTTATACACTGCAGAAAATGAAGTATAGGTAAGTAAAGAGTGTATTAATGAGTGTATTTTCCCCTGATTAACTAAGTAAGTAAGAAAATTTACCAACGGAAAGTTTGAAACTGGGAAAAAAAACAACAAATCCATTCTTTATTTCCAAATGCATTATACATTGATGAAAATAAGTATTTGAACACCCTGCTATTTTGCAAGTTTTCCCACTTAGAAATCATGGAGGGGTCTGAAACTGTCATCGTAGGTGCATTTCGACTGTGAAAAATGTAATCTGAAAATTTTTTTCCAGACATCACAAGATATGCTTTTTTTAAACTTTTTTTCGTATGATACAGCTGCAAATACGTATTTGAACACCTGTCTATCAGCTAGAATTCTGACCCTCAAATTCTCCCCCAATCTAATCGAAATGTCTGAAAAAAAATCCTCATTTGATTGACAGACCATTTACCTGCTCAACTTAAGAGCAAACATTGTTTTGCTACTTTATAGACCAGTTTTACAAGAAGACTCAATGTGGTGTACAGGAGAAACAAAGAATAATAAGTACATTGCAGTGGCATAGAGGCATTGCAAATAATTAGTAGAAGAATAAAAATGAACCATAAAAAGGATGATTATATTCAATTCAATTCAGTTTATTTATATAGCGCCAAATTCACAACACATGTCATCTCAAGGCACTTTACAGTTCAACCAGATCATCCAGTCAAATTGATACAAAGTTTACTATCTAAGGAAAACCAGTTGATTGCATTGACTCATTGACTCAAATACAATCCCCCACACTAAGCATGCTTGTAGCGACAGTGGAGAGGAAAAACTCCCTTTTAACAGGAAGAAACCTCCAGCAGAACCAGGCTCAGTGTGAGCGGCCATCTGCCGAGGCCGACTGGGGTTCAAGGAGACAGAAGCAGAGATACAAAAAGCAGCTGTAAAAGGCGGCCCCGTCGAGGAAACACACAGCCAGGCAGACGAGCTCCAAGGCAGCTCCCATGCCAGAGGACGAAGAGAGCACATCCACCCAGTCACGGTCAGAGAAACAGGACCACACTGGAAAACAGGCCGATCTCCAACATCTATTAACAAGGGTGTTGATAGAAGCAGCACAGCTGATGTTTTTTTCCAGGATGACGTCACAGCCAAACAGGAACAGACGAGGCAAAGCTACTCTGAGGAAAAGCAGAGAGAGCAGAAGGTTAGAGATTGAACTAACAGATTCTGCAGAATAGGAGAACAGAGAGAGAATGAAGCAGAATGATGAAATGGGGGTCCCTATGTCCTCCAAAAGTCTAAGCCTATAGCAGCATAACTATAGAGATAGCTCAGGATAACCTGAGCCACCCTAACTATAAGCTTTATGAAAAATGAAAGTTTTAAGCCTAGCCTTAAAAGTAGACAGGGTGTCTGCCTCACGGACTAAAACTGGTAGTTGGTTCCACAGGAGAGGAGCCTGATAACTAAAAGATCTGCCTCCCATTCTACTTTTAGAAATTCTAGGAACCACTAGTAAACCTGCAGATTGAGAGCGAAGTGCTCTGTTAGGAACATAAGGAACAATCAGATCTCTGATATAAGATGGAGCTTGGCCATTTAAGGCTTTATATGTGAGAAGGAGGATTTTAAATTCTATTCTTGATTTAACAGGAAGCCAATGAAGAGAAGCCAGGATAGGAGAGATATGATCTCTCTTTTTAATTTTCATTAGAACTCTGGCTGCAGCATTTTGGATCAGCTGAAGGCTTTTAACTACAGTTTGTGGACTTCCTGATAGTAAAGAATTACAATAGTCCAGCCTTGAAGTAACAAATGCATGGACTAGTTTCTCAGCATCACCCCTGGACAGGATATTTCTAATTTTTGCAATGTTCCTCAGATGAAAGAAGGAAATTCTAGAAACCTCTTTGATATGGGATTTAAATGACAGGTCCTGATCAAAAATAACACCAAGATTTTTTACTTTATTATCTGAAATCAGTTTAATCCCATCCAAATGAAGTGACTGGCTAATCAGTTTCTTTTTCAGAGACTCTGGTCCAAAGACTATAACTTCTGTTTTGTCTGCATTCAGGAGCAGAAAGTTAAGAGTCATCCAGGTTTTTATGTCTTCAAGACATGCTTGTAATCTATGTAATGGGTTAGCTTCATCTGGATTTATAGACAGATATAGCTGGGTATCATCAGCATAACAGTGGAAATTAATCCCATGCTGTCTAATAATTCTACCAATTGGGAGCATGTATAAAGTAAAGAGAATTGGTCCTAGCACTGATCCCTGTGGTACTCCACAGGTAACCTTTGAGCGTGTTGAAGATCTATCATTAACATGAACAAACTGAATTCGATCAGATAGATAAGATTTAAACCAGTCTAGTGCTGTTCCTTTAATTCCAACAAAATATTCAAGTCTTTCTAAAAGAATATTATGGTCAACTGTATCAAATGCAGCACTAAGATCCAACAGGACGAGCACAGATACAAGTCCATTATCTGAGGCCATGAGAATATCATTAGTGACTTTCACCAGAGCTGTTTCAGTGCTATGATGAGCTCTAAAGCCAGACTGAAACTCTTCAAAAAGTTCATTATGGTGGAAGTGATCGCAAACTTGTTTGGCAACTACTTTCTCAAGAATTTTGGATAAGAAAGGAAGATTGGATATAGGTCTATAATTGACCAAGTCGTCTGGGTCAAGAGACGGTTTCTTAAGCAGAGGTTTAATTACAGCAACCTTAAAAGCTTTAGGTACATATCCCTGTAACAGAGATAGATTAATCACATCTAAAATGGAGGAGGAGATCAAAGGGAATACCTCCTTAAATAACCTGGTTGGAACTGGATCTAACATACAAGTTGAAGGCTTAGATGAAGACAATAATTTTGCTAATTCAGAGAGTTCAACTGGATCAAAGCAGTCTAAACCCGGTTCAGATTCCATGACTACCTCAGGTACAATCGCGGATAGAGGAGTGCTTATGATCTTATTTTTAATAAGATCAATCTTATTTATAAAGAATCCCATAAAATCATTGCTGCTAAGAGCAGGTGGAATGGACGGTTCAACAGAGCTATGGCTCTGGGTGAGTTTGGCAACTGTATTAAAAAGAAATCTAGGATTATTCTTATTCTCCTCTATTAATGAGGAGAAGTATGCTGCTCTTGCTTTACAAAGGGTCCTCTTATACATTATATAAAAGCAGAGATAAGATGATTGGTATAAAAATTGACTGAAACCTTAACTAGTTAATATCATTTGGTCTTTTGTCATTTGTAGTCACTGATAAGCACCATTATATTGCAGTGCAGAGAGTGGTGGGATGAAATGCCTTAAGTGGTGAAGCTGCAAGCTAAAGAGAACGTAACACCATTGAAGTACTTCCTTATCCCCACAGAACCTGCTTTGTTACCTTGAGATAATTAAACAAGTTGCTTGAGATTAGCAAGACAAGAGAAATAAATGCAAAGTGTGTTACACAGATCCCGAGGAGTTTGACCCCTTCATCCAGCTCAGACTCCATCCTTTTATCAGTTGCAGTGTGAGCTCAACTCACTCTCCAAAGCTTTGTTTCTTCCCCCAATCCCTGCTGCCGCAAGGACCCGCAGGCAAACCTCTCATCTCTGCTCTGTATCTGGTTTTGATCTGGCTCCACGGACTCCTGGCTTAATCTGTTTCTAAGACCTACCGCTTCCCGCAGTGTTATCAGTGTTTAAATCCAGTGTTGATCTGCAGGAAAGCATCATTATCTCTTACTAATCATTCATAATATTCCCTCAAAGAATGAGGGCTACTCTGTCATGTCATGTAATCAGCTAAACCGGTCCTCCCCCACTTAAATTCTCCTTTTCACCCCCAGGTATTAGAATAGCAGTAGGTTAAGAAGGGGCTTTTTAAAAAGTTTTTGGAAAAAATACTCCCTTGTTTTCATCTCTGCCAAGTATATTCTTTTATTTTTCTCCAAATCAGATGGATGAAAACACTTCAAAAAAAGAATACGAGAGATCTGGGAAGCCCACAGAGAGGATCCTGCAAAAGTGGAGGATGTGAGGAGGCTAAATAACAAGATAACATTCACAGACAAATCTCTCTTTTGATGTGGTGAAACATAATCAGATTGTAAAAATCTATGAACAGCGGTTCAAATAGAGACTCCGGGGCAAAGCTGGAGCAGCTGGAGGGAGAAAAAAAAGCGTGAAGATTGTGTGCAAATGAGGAAAGATAAGTGACCAGGCTTTTATCTTAAATGGGAGCTCATTACAGAAGTGCCTTTTTTATTCATCACCAGACCCAATGATTATTTCTTGATGCAATGATGGTGAGTTTGCATGAAATAAACAAAGCAAACTCCCTCTGCAACCACAGAGGTATTTTAGAGGTCAGATGAGAACAAACAGCTGAGCCTTGATGATGAA